GATAACTGACTAGGTTGTTTTCAGGATTTTAGAGGAGGACTAACATTAAAAAAAAAAAAAAGAAAGAAAAAAAAGAGAGAAAAAAGAAAAGGGAAGGATTGATAACAGAGTCTGACAAGCCTATAAACAACCAAAATGCCAAGATTCCACTTAAAAGAAAAAAAGTGGATTTTACTTGTAGGAAGTGAATTTTACGTGATTTTGTAGGTGAAACTTAGAAAGAGCTTGTTTTCAGCAAGAAGCTCCTGGCGTTTAACATCTAAGTCACATATAAGTTCTGAAATGCAGCAAAAGTTACATTAAGTGGAAGTACTGCCTTGAGATAGAGCCACATTCCAGGTCCCATTTGTCCTGCCATCCACATGTTCCTCCAGGGAAAAATATTTTCTGCAACTTCATCAAAATATCACAGATTTGCTTTTCTCTCACTGATTATATGGACACTGGAGCCCAGAAGCACTGAGACATTTCACTGTTGCAAGCACATAGGGCTGTTTGGAAGAAAAATTTTACTCGTATTTAAGTAAGCTTTCTTGTACCCCCAGGGAGTAGGTAAAGTCCATGTTTCAAGTAGAAGCTGGAGACATTAACCACCAAAAGATTTTGAATAGCTGGGTACAGACCTGAAATTGCTTAAACCTCTCTCCAGTGCTCTGACCATTGGTGGTAAACTGAGCCCTTAGATGTAGCCCTGTAGACTCACCTGGGGGCAAGTGGGTCATATACAAACCAAGAGCCTCTCATTCTCCCCACATGGTTCAAGGGACACTGTTGTACCCATATGGCCCAAAAGACCACTGTCATGAGCAGCTGGAGATGTTGCTTATTATTGCCCCACTCTCAGGGAAACCACTATGGGTACAGAGCAGGATCCTAATGTTCCCCATTGGGGACATCAGGCAATGCGGTGGCTTGCTGCGGTGCCCCCTCGCCTGGGCAGGATGCCTCTCCTCTCCTCTACAGAGTCACATCTAACATCGAGTTGACACTAAAAGCAGACTTAAAAGAAGAAAACCTGCTTAGGGCTTGATCTGCTATAATCAGCGGAAAGAATCCCAAGGACTTTGACGTGGACCAAATCAAGCCCCTGGAGAACATTCGTGGTAAATCATTATTAATATAATGAGTGCAATTTCTGTGCAGCAGCTCATGCCTGTTTACGGATAGATGAAAATTGCCAGCTTTTCACATAAAATAAAATGAGGAGAGAGACAGACCACAGTGTTAGCCAATGAGCCATAGTAGCCACTCTCCTTTCGATATGGGTACATTTAAAGAAACTGGGCACTTAAAATGACAAGCAAATTCCTCCAGTGAAGCTCCCTTAATTTAGTGGTTTGACATATCTCCAAATCTGAACAGAAAAGAAAGCCCTTTATTCATAGCAGGCAATAAAACACCTGAACACCTGTGCTAGGAACAACCTGGCAGGTACCCTGCTCCCTTGGTACCTGGATTATTTGCGCATTGTTTATTATATCCCTTGCCTTAGTTTTCATCAATTGTAATCATTTAGGAGGGAACGGTATGATTAACAGTACACAAGCAAACAGCAGGAA